AATGTATGCAAAAAGGTATGGCATATAGCTGTCTAACAGAAGTTAAATCCATTTCTCACTTATTCTGACAATGTACTTAAAACTATTTTCCCTGCCTCTCATGGTTTCCTTGCGTCCCTCCATGCTTCCCTGGTGGGAGGGACTAGACGCAGGGAAACGACGCAAGTGAGGGAAGCAAGGATTTGATTTAACCGACCTGAGACGGGGGCCTGGTTACAGTGTTCATTTGCTATGAGTTTCTCAATGGCGCTTGAAGCCAAAATGCAGCGGCAGTAGACTCAAAAAGTACCCATATCTGGCACCGTACAGTTTTCCATAAGCATTTTTGGGCCCAATGACTTCACGGACTAGAAATCAGTGTAGTACCACCGTTTTGCCACTACGAGAATTTGCTTCACCGGCTGGCGGTCTTCCTGGGGCTTGCGTGCAACCAATCAGATGACAGCTGTGCTAACTGGCGCAAGCTAGCAGGGTAGGTATAAAAACAAAACCTAGCTGTTTTCATCGAAAGGTCTGTGCCCAACCTTGCTACGAGCAAAGAGCAAATGGCGTAGCATGTAGCTTTATAAATTGAAGAACATGGATTCCCAAGTGGCATTATGTTCTCCCAAGACACCAACTTTTTCTAATATAAGGCAATAATATACAAAAAGATGGCGAGACAAGGTAAAGGTAGTTCTGAGCCGAGGACAGAGAGTGCGGTGTGTGCAGCAGTCAGTGTGGAAAGACATAGCGTGTTGGGGGAATATGACATGGCTGAATGGAAACTCCACATAGCTGCCTTCACTGCTGCTCACATGCTTCTACCTCTCCAACACACAGTGCAGCTCCACGCTCAGCTGGGGCTGCTTCTAGACCAATATGTGTGTGTGTGCCAATGTCCCTCTGCAATTTACACTTCACCAAGAAAGAACATTCTTGAAACATTTGTGAGGTCAGGACATTTGGAAAAGGTTGACAGTTGAAATACGAGATAAAAATAAGTTATCAGTAAAATATCGTTCAGATTTGGTTTGAAAATCTGCCTTTTGAAATCCCTCTTTTACTTTACTCACATGCCCACAAAAGCACGCACATTTTTACACACACACACACACACACACACACACACACACACACACACACACACACACACACACACACACACACACACACACACACACACACACT